TGTGGTGCCCAGAATTGCACGCAGTACTCCAACTGCGGTCTGACCAGCGCCTGATAGAGGGGAAGTATCACCTCCTTGGACCTATTCGTCATGCATCTGCTGATGTACGATAAAGTGCCATTGGCTTTTTTGATGGCTTCGTCACACTGCCGACTCATGTTCATCTTGGAGTCCACTAGGACTCCAAGATCCCTTTCCACTTCCGTGCCACCCAGCAGGTCATTCCCTAGGCTGTAGGTGTGCTGGACATTTTTCCTCCCTAGGTGCAGCACTTTGCATTTCTCCTTGTTGAACTGCATTCTGTTGTTTTCTGCCCACTTGTCTAACCTGTCCAGATCTGCTTGCAGCTGTTCCCTGCCCTCCGGCATGTCCACTTCTCCCCATAGCTTTGTGTCATCTGCAAACTTGGACAGAGTACATTTCACTCCCTCGTCCAAGTCGCTGATGAAGACATTAAAGAGTATCAGTCCAAGGTCCGAGCCCTGCGGGACCCCACTGCCCACACCCTTCCAGGTTGAAGCCGACCCATCCACCACAACACTCTCTCTCCCTGCAGCCCTCCCAGGGGTGCGAGCCCCTGGATCTGTGCGCCAGATGCCAGGAGGCTGCCGCTGCTGCCTGGGAAGATTGCTGCTGCCACTGGCCCCAGGCAACAGTGGCAGCCTCCTGTCATCCAGCGCGCAGATCCAGGGGCCCGCACCCCGAAGAGGGCTGCGGGGCTGTGCCAGACTCCTCCTAGGATCTGCGTGCAGGATGACAGCAGGCTGCCACTGCTAGCTGAAACTGGCACTGAAGCCAAGTAAGCCTGGCTTCAAAACTCTAAACGTTTCGAGTGCCCTCGTTTCAATTCAAAGATGTTTGGAAGCCTTTTGCTTCATTTCAATTTCACTGTTTCGAGCTAGAAACGCTTCTAAACAGCTTCAAAATGAAACACCCAGTGAAGTTTTGCACAGTCCTACTGGACAGACCTATCCAGACGGAGCCTGGATTACAAGGCGTACCATGTGGGCTCCAGGAGTCCTCCAGGAAAAGAAGAAAGAATATCCCTGCTCATACTTATTTCTCCATGTTTCTCAACCTCTTGCAGACCTAATAAGACTTCTAGGAAGAAGTCCCTTCTCATCAGATCACCAGAGTAAGGAACCCACCTTGACAGATTTCAGTAAATCAGCAGATTAAGTCCTTGCTACCATCTCTGCTTTCCTAATTCCCACTTTTAAAGCTATTTTAAAGTAAGAGAATTTCCAAACCAAACAGTAAATATTATAGTAAAATTAAACACTTTGTTTATATATCTATAATTTCAGAGCAAATATTTTTACAATAATACCACTGATTGTAAAGTCCTTGCTTTTGAATTGTATGGATTTATAACTGTTATTCCTGTGAACCCTAATAGCTGAAAATATGAAAAATCCATATATACGATAACTAAACTTGTTTATCTTTTCTCTTGTTGCACTGAGAAAAAACAGAAGTTTACATTACCTTCTCCAGCCCCAATAAAGAACTTTACTTCAGCACTGACTACAATAAGAATGCCTTATTGTTAATTGTACTGTGCCTGTGCCAATTCTGGTCTTTACTGTTACAATCCACAAAGAAGGGGAAAACACACACAAATGTGCACTTATTTACAAATTTCAGACTGAACAAAACAGCAGATGAAGAGAATTCATCTCTCACTAACAGTCTAATCCAAAACCCAATGAAGCCAATAGAATGCTTTTCTGTGGCTTTGTTTGTTGATGGTACCCAACACACCTTTTGGAAAATAATCAGCAGCTCACACAACTGGCCTACATGGTTCCATTGAGAACAATTACCTACGCATCATTAGACCTAGAGCTCACATGTCTCCACAGACAAACTTTCTAGCTCAAATCATGAAATTGCAGCATTTAAACAAAGAAGGTAATGATTAGTTAGATCATACTCTGGTCTATCTGAAATTTCCTTTTTAAATATTCCTCTGGGACACATTTTCAAAGGGAGGCTGGTGGCTCTGTTAAGGATGAGTTAAGGTAGTCTGATTACTAAACCATAAATTTGCTTAATTCCAAAGATTAATTTACATGAAACATGAACTCAATCCCTTATAATTTTACAAGTACAAAGTTCTTGAAAGTTACTTCTGCTAATATGTCCAGCATTACCTATTAAATGGAAAGTCTCTCTTTATTGAACACTAAAGCTAACAAATCAAATATTCACAATTCAAGAAGATTCAAAATTTGTATCATCTAGACTGAATCAACAATTATGCATTCAGATTCAAGTTTAACAAGAAATTGTGATTCCACATTCCTACCACAGACTGCTGGTAGGTAATAATAAGACTCAGTAGTAGGCAGTAATATAAGAGCCACTTCTCATCTTCACTCTGCATTTATTACATCTTACCCTACCACCAGGAACTGCTATTCTAAACATCTAAGACAAAAATCCATTCATACTAAAACATCTATCTAGTAAATAATGTCTCTATAGATTCATACAGAGACATTTTCTACTAGATAGACAGACAGCTAGATAAACTGATTACAAGTTAATTTACTGGTTCACTATTTGTGACCTATTTCTCACTGCTTCAAATATGTTTACAGTTTAATCTGCGTTTCCAATTTAATATCTTTGGCTTTGGAAAATGTTTCTTGTCCACAAGTTAGTCACTGACTCCAAAATCTCCAAAATGCTACAGTGATTTGCAATTCAGCAGTTTCTTTTGGATTGCTGCTATCCTTATTAAAGAGAAACCATAATTACAAGTGAGACTACATTTCTTCTTAAAGATAGAAGTGTTAGAGTACATATCAAGTCTCATTTACTGTTATGAAAATATGTAAATACTGAACTACTGTCTTAAAAATATCCTACCACTCCAAACAGTACATATTTTGATATGTTATGATGCAAAGGGGTTGCTGACAGGATTCTTGTCTACAGTCTGAGAAAGATCTTGACTGAATAACAATCTTTTTTTCTGTGAAGTGGTGCTTTGATTCCCATATAAAACCTACATTCTGCAAATTAAGCAGGGATACAAAGTTGGAGGCAAAAAACAGCTACTGCTGTAAAGTTTTTCTGTACATTTTGATATACTCTTTAGAATCCAAACTTTTTTCTCTTAAATACATAAATTATATTGCTCATCTAAGTGGGAAGATAACCTTTCCAACGCGATTCTCATATTAGTGATGTCCAGGTACATAAAATCACTGGAGGCTTTATTGAATAAGGAGTACAGTATTAGGCTTTCTTTCCAATACAAAGCAACCAGATCCAGCTTTAATTTTTAACTCTTCAAATCCATTAAAAATTCAGAAACAACCACAACAAAAAAGGTATTTCATATATATTTGGTGGTCTCCAGCCCTATGTATCTGAATCCCTACATCAAACATTTTATTTAACTTATTGCTCAGTGTACAGTTCTAAATAGCACGAGTCACTTTTTCGTTTAAAAAAAAAGCTGAGCAGCTGACAGATTTTGGTCCATCTGCAGAGCACAAGCGCGCACACACCAAAACCAAGCAAGCCTGTCTTCCACTTCCATGGATTTCATTTGTTTTAGACTTGAGCACCATACTGCCGAGGCATCTCTCGGTCTCCTCCCTGTCAGAGACCTACTCAAGCACTAGACAGACCTGCACACATCCGTCCAGCCCCAGGAAAGCTGCCTGCATTTCACCCTGCAAAAACGAGCCGGTTCTGCCCATCCACCAGCAGCCCCCGTGCCCCGCTTCTCCCAATGGCACCGCGCATTCAGGCACCTCCGCCCCGCAACACAAATCCCGCCACCTGCACCCATGGGCCCTCACCGGGGCCTCGTCCCTCAGCGGCCAGCCGCGCGGAGAGGGTGTCAGCCTCGCCTCCCAGCCGGCCGGCCGGCCACTCCTCACGCCGCTGCCAGGCGGTGACAACGGAGGAGCAGAAAGAAGGGGAGTCCGGGCCCTTCCCCCGCGCGCACAAAGCGCCGGGAAAGCCCGACCCGGCCCCGCGGGGCCGGAGGACTGCACTGGGCGTCAGGCGCCAGCTCCCCGCCCCCGGGCAGCGGTGCTGAATCACGCTGCGCGCTGACGGGAGGGGCCGTGTCGGGCGGGGCATCCCCAGCCCTGCCTTACCTGCGACCCTGGAACGCAAACACAGACCTGGCAACGGCCTCGCCTCGCCCCGGCCCCGCCTCGCCTCGCCTCGCCCCGGCCGCTGGGCCGCGTCCCGTTGCCAGGGAGGCCCCCGGAGCCAGGGCGGGAGCAGGGCTGCGGCCGCGCCCAGATACCCACCGCACCGCACCGCACCGGGGGAGGGAGACAAACCCGCCCCCGACGCGACCCGAAGCCTCCGGGGGGAGGTAGGAGGTGCCGGGGCCTCGTGCTCGGACTGGAACCGCTAGGGTGCAAGGGACAGCAGGGCCTACTCGTGTGGGGTGTCACATAGGGGGTGCACCTTCACCCCTGCACCCCCCCGAGCGTGGTGGTGCACCCCCTGCAAAAAGGCACTGCCCGGGGTTGCCACTTGCCACCCTGCCACCAACACCGTCTGTGGGCGGTCCAGGATCCCCACTGGCCGCTGCCAGCAGTCGCCAACCGTTGGTCCATGGTCACCACACACCCACCGCCGCCGGCAGCTCCCCCACTTACCGCTCCCGCCATTGTGCCCCTCCAGCCACCCAGGGCACGTGTCGTTCATGGCTACGAAGGAGCACGGGACAGGGAATCCACTAGGACAGGGATTCTCAACCTTTTTTGTAAACGTGGATTGCCAGTCCCCACTCCGTGCCCCACGCACGCGAGACAAAATGCATAGGGAGACCTGGAAAATAGCTTAAAAAACAGGTTTTTTCCCTCTCACAGTCCTAACTCTCTGATCTATGCTCCCTCTTTCTGGCCCAACAAATCTGTAGTTATTGATGGTTAGGGCACACTCCTAAGAAGTAAAAACAGGAGCATCTGAATCCATCTGGCTGATAAAGGTATTTTACCAGGTCTCCCACATCTTAGCAAAATGCTCTGACACCTGAGCTATTGAGTAAAAGGGGAGGTGACAGCACCACAAACCCAGGCTGTATTTTTGGATGAAAGCAACCCTACAATTTGCTAGATCGCGAACAACGTGTGCCCCCGGCACCTGGGGAGTACAGTGGCAGTGGGAGCACGGTGGCGGCACGGTAAGTGGGGAGCTCCCGCAGACACTGCCAGTGCTGTCGGCGGCAGGAGGGGGTGTGGCAAGCATGAACCAGAGGTTGGCGACCATCGCAGACACCGCCAGCAGCAGCAGCCAGTAGCAATCGCAGACCACGCGCAGACGCCACCAGCCGTGTCGGCAGGGGGGGGGCGCAGGCGCCACCCACAGGTGCTGCCGGCGGTGTCGGCAGCACCTTGTAGGGGGTGCACCGCCACACTCAGGGGGTGCACGTGCACCTGCGTGCACCCCCTACACGTCGCCCCTATGCTAGATCAAAAGTAGAAATGTGATTAGGTGTGACCTAAGCATACACAGTGACTCAGGCCTTTAGGGAGAAACAAGTGCTGGAATATCTAGTTTGAGGGTTCCTAAAGGATTTATATGAAATAAGTACTGAGCCCTACCACAGCAGAGGCAGTTCTGGGTACACACAAAGTAGAAATCTAGGCTTCTAGGAAACATTACTGGCAAAAACACAGGTGTCTTAGATGCCTATAACAGGTTGGCAACCTACAGCCCACAGGCCAGATCCAGCCTGCAAAGAGGTCCCTCCCATGTCTGGTCCATGAAGGACTGGTTGCATGAAGCTGCACTGTGCTTCCCATCCCCTCCACAGCATTTCCCTCTCCTGCAGAGCCTGCTGTTCTACCATGTCTGCAGCAAGGGAAAG